TTTAGAGCTTTTCTCCTTCTGCTCTGGGGAGGGGACTCATTAATGATCCACAATGTTGCTTTTCAACCAGGGTTTTGTCCTTTAACAAAACTGGGCCAATATCAGTCAGATCACAGTAAAAGGGGTTTTGTCTTTGTTCAGTGGTAGCAAGGAGTAGCCCATGGTGTCAAGGAAATAAATAATGCAGGCGTGGGATAGTGTCTCCCAAAGAGTTCCCTTTAATTCATAGGATGTTTTAGGAAACAGATGTCAACAGCTTGTCTTGTATCTTGGCTGTGAAATCCAGGGGAAGGCCCAAGAGTGGGGCCTGCCTCGTGGCCAGGAAGTCTTTGCCTTCTGATGGTTGTGCAGCAAGCTGTAGAGCTCACTACTTAGGGGATAAGGTCCCCATTGCAGAACCTATTGCCACACCAGGTACTAGTTATCCCCTGTGTTGGCTGCAGCAGGTAGGCCAAGCCCCAGCTGACCCTCGGGAAGTGCTGTGGCCACCATCCGTCTAGAAGCACATGCTGGTACAGCCCTGGGCCTGTTAATGCTGCCTGCTTTCCATGCAAGGTTTGATTTTTCATAAAAGAATCGCCAACCCAAAACATGTGAATTCCTTATGCCCCCCGTTTTCCCTCTTGGGCAGGGCCCCTGGCCAGGCTATGCCCCCCAGAGTACTCTCTGATCGCAAGACTCCCAGGATGCTGCACCCCATTTTCCCAGAGCCGACTCTAGTCAGACCTGGGTCCCAGCCCACAGGGAAGGGCAGGAGCGAGCAGCAACATTTCAGTCAGAATTATTTTAGCCCCAAATTGAAAATTTTCCAGGGGAGTGTAAAAAAGTCTCCTAGCAAGTTCCATAGTAATGCACCATAGTCCCTGAAGGCAGTAGGTTTGACTTGATCCCCAGGGGGCAGGTGGGTGGGGGAGAAGGGGCTTGTACACAGATGATTCCTCTCTGCCCAGGCCTCTCCAATCACCGGCCAGCACACCTTCTCTTGTCTGTGAGCCCTGCAGGTTTATCTCCTTTGTTATAACAAAACCGAACAACCCATCTGCTGTTTCTGCCATCCATCATTCTGCACAACAGGAGCTAATGGAAACAAGGGTTGATGATAGCTACAGATCTGAGGGAACCTCAGTCAGGCTGCATGTGTCAGCACCCCATGTCTGGTTCTTCAGGGTCTGTCTCTGCCTTGGAAAGCAATGAGACAACAATTCGAAGTTCTGCTGCAAGGGCTGCACCCTAGTTGGATCTGGGGGCAAGAAAATCCTGATCCAGTCCTTCCTTCTTAGGGTCTGCACACAGAACCCAGGTGATAACAAGGATCCAGTTTAGGATTTTGTTGAGTTTTCCATTTGTCTTACAAACCTATATGTCACATCAGTACAAGCTTCAGGCACTTCAGGCAGCAGTACAGACAAGATTTTAACTCCTGATCATCACAGTAAAAGTGAAACCCCCACTCTTTCTCTAAAGCAGAGGAGCACATACACACTTTATAGCATCAGCATAGCAACATGCATTTAGATCGCACTTCTACTCCTAGTCCTTTCAAGCTCTATTACATAATATAGGCACAGTCTACTCACTGTTGGAATTCATCCACTGCTGGGGTGGAACATGGCAGTTTTTTGACAGCACACAACAGCTTAAGATGGCAAATGAAGACTTATCCTGTATCCATCTCAAACTCCAAGTGGAACAGAATATGGTCACTCAGAGGGTATTTGGCACAGGACTCCTGAAACTTAGCCAGTCACAGCAGCACTGAAACCATAAGCATGGGACTGGGAATAGCTGGGAATGGGAATGAACCATGGGGTTTCATCTCTAGGTCACCACGCTGAATCCAGCCAAGGTCACCCACAAAAATGACTGCCTAAAAGCAGTGGTCCATGTGAACTGAGCTTGGGAGTTCTAATTCAGTTCCTAACACAGCAGCATCCACCACTCAAATCCACAGGCACCACCTCCCCCCAAGATTGTTGCTAACTTGGCAAAGAGATCAAGGACTCAGACCAAATCCAAAGCAGGTCTATGGCACATCAGTTGGCGAGGGGCCTTAGGCAGATCCTGGGACTCTCCTGATCTGGCATCTCACTCAATTAGACAGAGCAAGACAGAGGTTAAAGGGCAGGGCGCACCTCAAAATGCTAATCAGAAGAGCTGGGTGGGAGTGGTGGGGGCAGGATGCCCCATAGCACAATGACAGCCCCAGCCTCCTTCAGATCTCATTAACGCTGCCTCTGTGAAAGTCACTGCCCGAGAACAGTGGGCCTGACAAATTCTGGGATTCACTGCTGCCTGCCTTGTTGGGGTCCCTGCCTTTCATCCCGGCAGGGTAGGGAATGTTTGAGTCCAAACAACGAAAGATAAAGAGAGCGACAGAGAAAGGGAGTGGGAGAAACAGGACAAGAAAGAAAAATAAATAGAGAGGAGCAAAATAAAGAGGAGACAGATGTCTGAAAGCAGAGAGATGGAGAAATCCATGCTCCCTGCCGGCATATTCAACTGTCGCCAGCAAAAGGATGTGTTTTGTGTACTTGAACACACAGGCCTTGGAACTGGTGGGTGGCCTTTGGGAGGAAGCTAATAAAAGCTCCCTTAGTCTAGGTTTGTTCACCAAGAGAGAAAAGTAGTTCTGAATGGGATGGCAGAGACATTTGCTTCACTGATGGGAGCATCCTTCCTGCCACACACACAAAACTCAGGTGCTCAGTCCCTACCACCCCATGCTACAAACCACTTATGGCATCGAGACAGCCCTGTCCAAGTGGAAAAGGATGTGTTCACACACATGCATAAGTGTCTGTCAGGGAGAACCATCAGGCATGAATCCTAATCTATTAATCCAGTGCAGAAGCCGCTGCAAAGCAAGGTTGGGTCTGTATCAAACCCCAAGAGCAAACCTCCTCTGAGTTCTGGGGTGGGGGGTCCATTCCTCCTCAGTAGCATCTGACTGAATTGTTCACAAGTAACAAGAGATTTTGGGCATTCAGCCTCAGGTACCACCAAGGGGTGGATATTTCAGAGAGCAAGAAACCCCCACCCATGCAGAACCAGGCCCATTTAACACACCTTAGGTTAGGCCCCCAACTGAAGGCCTTGGTTTCTACAATGAGCCAAGCCACCAGCCAGTACCCCAATACCAGAGACTCAGATCTAAATTCCAGGATTCACCTCCCATCTGTAGGGTCCATCAGGGTGGGGCAAGGGGAGAGGGAAGCCCACAATTCACTGCAAGAGGAAAGGCAAGTCATTGTGACTGAAGGGTGTACCATGAGGCAGCTATGTGTGTGTTTGTTCAAATAGAAAAAGCCCCAGTGGAAAGGTTAGAGTGTCTGGGCACCACAGGCTTGCTCTTACAGGACACATACAGTTCTGGACAGGGGAAGGTCCAAACCCATTTCATAGTGGGTTTTGGTAATACTGGTGTAGTGATGAAGAAAGGAGACAGTGAGCACCGCTCCTCTAGGCCTGGTGACCGAGACCTGTCTGTCTTTCTCCAGCCTTTGGCACCTTTGAAACCAACCCGGTGTAGTTCTGGAAGCAGAGTACTTGAGCCATTATGCCCCAGGCCTTCCCATGTTCAGTTTTTATTTGTGTGCCCAGAATTTCCACTTCCTGTCTGTACCAGTCCTAGTTCAGCCTTTGAAGCATCCCTGGCTCTTTCTGTTGAGCAGAAAATGTCATCTTATCTCCATGTGGGAACAGAGGATCCTTTCACTCCTTTGTAGACACTTCCATGCTCTCCAACCTGGATGAGCCTCTACAGGCAATTGGTGCATGTTCTCTGTTGCATCAAGTAGTTGTTTTGTGGCACAGTCCCAGGCTAACACCCAGCTAACACTCAGAGCAGATGTTTCTGTGACTGCCACAGTTTTGGGAGGATCTGATTTGTTCCTGCTAATTCCTCCTGAAGAGGAAAGTGCTCATCCCTGGAGTTGGCCTTTTATTCACTTTCAGTCCGTCTTGCTGCTGTCCTGGTGCCAGGACAGCACTGTGCTTTGCTTGCCAAGTGCTGCACAATAAGGATATCATCTGTGCATGCCATGACCCTGCCGGGCACTGAACAGATTCCAAACAGCAGCAGGCGCTGGGCACAGTACCTTCTGAATACATGGCATCTCCTGTGGGAGGGAAATCTACTGCAAAGGCATCTGGTACTTGATAGCTCCAAAATGGGGAGAAACATGTCACCTACCCCATTCCCCAGGTTGTCAAATCACCAGGCAGGAAGAAGAAGGCAAAGATCTCACCAGGACAGGGACCTATGCAGACAGAACAGACACAGGTATCCAGAGATAAGCAGTGTGCACTCCATCCCTCAGGGCTACAGACATTTCCCTGGCTGGATCTGTCATCAGACTGGCTTCTTGAATCATCCGTAACTTGAACCTTTGAACACCCCAACATGCATCCTTGCAGAAGCTGGGACAAGTCTGCTCACGTGCTGAGTGATGCTGGGATTTGTCTCAGACACTGCTTTAGTCCCTGGCCTCAGATGGAGGTTCCCATGGCTTTTGTCATGATGTGCTGCTTTTGCCCTTGTTTATAATGTGTCAGTGTGAGATTGCATCTCCCCACCTGACAAACAGGGAAGTGGCTGCTTGTTTCAGGACATTCATCATTGTCATGGATGAGGTGGGGGTTATGTGGCCATGTGGCAGGATGCTGCTCTCAGCACTTGTCTCCATTCCATATGCCATCTGCCTGCCTTAGTGATGAGCCTAACTGATCATCTGGTCTGATGGAGCAAACCACTAGGTCCTATCTCTACCACGATGTCCTCTTGTTGGGTTTATGTTGCATTGGGCACTTCTGCCCCAAAGCCAAGACAGTATCCCATTACATGGCTGGTAGGAAAATGGATTAGTGGATGACTAGGATGCCTGGGGTTTTTTCCTGGCCATGCCACTGATGTGCTCCATGAATGTGGACAAGACACTTAATCTACCTTGTACCCTGGCTTCTCATTTGTACAATGAAGGAAATATGTTCCTCCCTCACAGGGACCAGGGCGGGATCCTATCCATGAGTGACAGCTGCCTGTCCAACACATACCACTGCCATGTGGGATAAACAACGGTGAGGATAAAAATTCAGATCTTCAAGCTCTGCCCATTCAACTCAAGGAAAATCTCCATCAGCAGTATGGAACCTTTGACACACACGTGTGAACAGTCTTGGCTCCAAAAGAGAACAGTAGAATAAAACCAGACTCCAAGGTATCGCTATGATTTCACTCTTTTCTTACTGCAAACTATTTGATTTTGCTTCACAGTGCAAGAAAGTCACGAAAAAGCACTTACAATAGCCTTAGACAAAAGCAGGTGCCTCCCATCTTAAGCCTCCCTCTGAGAGTCAAGGGGAAGTGTGAACAGCCTCAAACACCAACATGAACCGGGGCCCTTAATCATGGTGTCTGGGGGAGCACAGCCTGCTACAACCCTGGCCCCAGCAGCTGGCACAGAATTCCCACCTGGATTAGGTGCTGCTCCTAGGAGCCCTGTGGCTGGCACAGGCCCGCTAATCCCTTTTATTTGTTCTCGCCTGAGGGGGCTGGGTGAGACTGGGAGAACACAGCCTTTTGTGTGGACTCTGAGCAGGGGAGTCAGGCAATGGGTGGCAGGGAGGCCTGGGGAAAGGCTGGGGGAGAAGCCTCTCATGCAGGCCTGGGGCAGGGGAGCATGTGCTATCTTTTCCCCTTCAGTAGCTTGATGAGTCTTGGAAAACTAGGGCAAAGGAGGGCTCCCACCCAAGAAGACAACTGTTTTGGGAAGAGTGGCTGAGGGCTCTTTCTTCCCTGGTTCCTGCCACAGAGTCCTGACGGGGACAAAACTCCAGGGTTACAGAGGCCTCTCAGGACAGATCTTGAATGGCTTTCTGGATAAAGCAGTTGGTCTCCAAGCCATGTCAGACACAGATGCCTCCTTCCCTCACTGCTACTGCCTGGCACATGTGAACTCCAAGACCAACATTAACTTGGGGCTGGTATTAAATGCCTAGGAGGGGTTAGTAGAAGCAGCTCATGATTTTAGGTCCAGAAGTCCCGGGCTCAGTCCCTGGGGCTGATGATCCACTAAGGGCATGGTGATAGCAGCCAACAGCTGGGCAAACCACAAAGATATGATCAGGCATTCCCTGGACCTGGGGCAATTCCAGTATGTTCAGACAGAAGAGTTTCCCTAGGTCTTCCCTTGCAAATGACTCCTCAGTGTTCCCAGTTAAGAAGAGGCCCTGTAGATCAGTTCCCTGCCCCAGACATGGCTGAACTGATCTCAAAAGAAACCGCCTGCCTTTTTGTAGGATCTCTGTTCTTGGATTGCATTGTTCAAAACCTGGTCCCAACTTGTTTGTAATCCAGATTTGGGGTTTTGGCTTCACCCATTGCAGGGGTAGAGATCAGAATTCACATCTGGCCCTGAATCTCCTCGGAGTTGGGGAACTGGGAGGATGCAACCTAGGGTGGGTGGGCATCTAGGGATTTGATCCAATCTGTTGGGTGAAGGGCTGGGGTAGACAATGGATGGGCCCATCTTGATGATTTATGCCAAGCTGAGTGGTGCTCCTGGGAGCCAGGGAATCTGTGGTCTGCCATTAAAAAGCTCTTTGATTTTGATTAACCTTTCTGTAGGAAATTAGTATGACACAGGTACCCAGGCAGGCAAGCACACAGACAAACCAGGCCAGATTCTACTCTCTCCTAAAGGAGTATAACTCAGGGTAATCCAGGAGTGCCTATCCTAACGCCCATGGAGCCCAGTGCACAGCTCCTAAGGCAAGTAGGCAGTGGAGAGACCCCCTGGCTCTGTGGCAGATTGTAACCAATGATATGCAGTGAAGAGAAATCTCCATTGCACTGAAGTTTGATGCCCCAAAGCCCCAGATTTGCAATAGCCATGCTGCCTTGAGCATTGTAAAATGAAGGATTAGGGCCAAAATAAGTGGCAGATCATTCTGCTTCCCCTGGCCAGCGGCTCTTAATTAAAGTACTGAGCTTACTCCATCACCAGCTGTTGCTATTCATCTCAGTACCAAACTATGGGATTTTTCAGATACAGCTGAACTACAATGGTTATTGTGGAAAGGTCTTTCCAGACTCTGTTGAGGAGAAAGATTTGGGTAACCTCTAGTTTGGCTGTATTTACTAAATTCCAGAATTTAGATGCATAAAAACGCAGTGGGCAACGCTTCCTTCCCTATATGATTATCACTTTTGCAGAGTGGTCACCCTACTTAGGAAAGAAATTAAGTGAATCTTATGGTAGGGTCTGTTTGGCTTAGACAAACCATTTAGCAGCAGGGTCCAAGACACAATGGATAGGAGGGTGAGTATTAGGGTTAAGAAAATCATGGTGTCCAATGCTGTGGATTGAAGGAAAGCAACAGAGATTATGGTACGCAGTACTGCACTTACATCACACTCCCTGGGACAGCTCCGTATGAAATGGGTCTCTGGGAGCAACCTCTGATGCATTAGCACTGAAGGTGAGATTTACAAATGCTCTGCTCTCATTGGAACATGCAGCAGCGGTTGCCATCAGACATGCTGAGATATTTTTGGAAATCACTAATAACAAGTACTAGCCTGGTCTTTACAATACCTGGTCTTGGATTGGCCAATGGCCTATACAAAGCCCATGGGAGTCTTCAGTGGCTGCAGAAACAAATCAATTGTCTTCTACACATCCTCTCTATAGGTGCAAGGACATTTGAGTCTAATGTTAACATCTGGCTGTCCTGAGATCAGACCCTGCTTAGGTCAGTAAGGCAAGTTTCCTCTCCCTATTTCAGTGCTGTGTCAGTGTGACTAGTGCCCATGCTATTCCTCCCCGTGAGAGCTGCAATTTCAACAACGCATCCCAGGCCAGAGTCCAGTCTAAGACAGAGGACATACAGCAAGAGAAAAGAGCAGGGGCCTGCTTGGTCCCTGTGCTGTCCCCCCTCAATTGAGGTGAGAAGCCAAAAGAGCACAGGGACCGTCTGACTGACTTGGGACTCTGAAAAACCAAACAGGAACAGCATAAGGTCAAAGGCCACTTACGGATTGAGGCGGGCCGGGCATATGAGATGAGCAGCCTAGACAGCACATGCAGCTCTGAAAAGATGCCAAAAGCACTGGCAGGCTATGCTCAAAGTTACAGGGCAGGGGACTGTCATGTAAAACACAAGGCTCATGGCAGCTCCTCCCTCTACCATGTTCTTCAATGCTCTGCTAAAGCTTCTGTGTCTCAAACAGTAGCTTCCTGCCTGATGGATCAGGAGACAAAGAATTCACAGTCCAAAGAAAGCTTCTGTCTCAAGTCAATGAAAAGCAATGGGATCAGATCAGTCCTCCAGCACTGCAGACCTTTACATTTGAACCCAGGACAGAGAGGTCAAGGGCTTGATAGGCCACCAGCATAGCCAGGCACAACTTAAAGTGAGCTCCATAGATTGCCAAGGTCATGGAAGCACGGTGTGGCGTGGCATCTGTCCTCTAGGCTAGCAGGCCACACACTCGCTCTCCCTTGGGTAACAGGTGGTAGCTGCTCACCAAACCAGAAGGAATCTTGCTCACTCTCTTTCTCTTTAAAAGCAAAAGCAGAGGACAAACTGAGGAGGGAGGCTACATCATAGATTCTCAAGGTTACTACTCTGGAACAACTGTGAGATGCCATCCAGTGGTCCCTGTGTGAAGTGTGTAGGATGAGGAAGACATCTTGTTCTGAGTACTAGTGTCCATGTCACCAAGCAGTTACTAGAATTGGGCCATCCATCAGCATGCCCAGAAGAAATGCCTGGAATCCAGCATGTCCTGCAGGCTTAGTTATGGCGCACCCTGTGGAAGGCAGGGTAGATTTGCACCTTATAGACTAAACCAGAGATACATATAGCATAAGCCACTGCTTGACTACAGATTAATAAATCTAATTATGTCTCCACACCTTGTGGAGTAATGCCCCCAGCATGGAGCAAGGTGTATCAGTCGAGGGGGGACAAATATCTTGCTGCTGCCTGTGCATTGGTACTCAGTGGGCACATATACATGTTCATTAATGTGCCATAACTACTGTGCATTAAATGTAGTACTTGTATAATTGAGTACTAAATTAATGTGCGCTGGTGTTACTGTGCGGTACTGCCAATGAACACCTTTTTAGTGATGCTACTGCACAGTAGCCTAATAATACTGCGCAGTAGCATATTAGCACTGTTTGTGCCATGATTTGCTGCTGCGCAATACTATTAGGCTACTATGCAGTTAGCATCTTGTGTAGATGCACCCAGCGTGAAATCACTCCCTTGCTACTTCAGATAGTGTGCGTGGACAGAATTAGCCTATTGATGTTTGTTTGCTTATTGATTTATTTCTGCTGTGGCAGCCTTGGAAGAAATGTATTCCCATTGGCATGTGCCTGAGCCATGTGTCCTTCATCTCCACTGGGGCACCCAAACACAGATGTTTCAGGGACTTGCCAGGCCTGACTGCCCTAGCAGCTGCAGGAGGTTCTGATGATGGGGGGCAGGTGTGGGAGAGGGGAATTTCCTATTAGCTGCACAAGGATCATGGCTCTTAGAAGCCAGAGCTAACCACAGGCCTGAACTCAGCAGCCACAGAGAGAAAGGAGACAATGAGAGGTGATTAATAAAGTGCATGTGAAACCGGCCTGCCTCCGAGTGTAACAGATTGGATGCATTACTGAGCTGGAAAGTCCCTGTTCATTGGCTCCTTAGTTCAGTTCTATAGTATGGAAGTGGGTCAGATTTGCAGCACATCACGTACAGCCAGATGGAGTTGTTATACATGACCAAGGGACAGAAGCCAGGGCTGTGGCCTGCCCCACCCCCAACCCCATTCATCCCCTCCCTGGGCTTTTCAGGGGAGTCTGACCCACCCTAAGAGCTGGGGCCACAGTGGGGCACACACTTTGTGATGTGCTGTTAAGGGAAGATGAAAAGGGCTGTGGTTATTCTCAGCTCGGGCTGTGGTTTTTGCTGGCCAGGCTCCCTTTCCACAGGGAATGAGCTGCAAGCAATGAATGTGGCGGGGGCATAAGTTCCAGTTCTTCTTGTTGGAAAAGAGCCACAGCAGGGGTTGGAGTAACTGGGAAGGACGTGGTCCCAGCCCTACTCAGAAGGGGAGAGGAGAGTGTCTGAATCCCATTAGAGGAAGGCATCAATGCCAACAACCACTCAGCAGAGCAGAGATATTCTGGGGAACGCGGTGACTCTGTA